TAAACATGCCTCGTAACTAACATAAACTTCCCGAGTAATATGCAAAAAGTTTTAGTCCGTGCTCATTGTTCGTTAAAAAGTTATTAACAAATGAAGTTAGTGATAAGAGTTTGCACCGAACATGCATACACATGCACACACACACACCGAAGGGGGCGTGCAAGGGGGCCTTCGACCCCCCACCCGCACTCCCCCTCGAGGGTTAACGGGTGAAACTCGCTTCATATGGAAAGTCACATGTGAGTTTGCGACTTTCCACATGAAGCGAGTTTCACCCGTTAACCCTCGAGGGGGGTGCGGGTGGGGGGGTCGAAGGCCCCCCGCACGTCCCCTTCGGTGTGTGTGTGTGTGTGTACATGCTCGGTGCAAACTCTTATCACTAACTTCATTTGTTAATAACTTTTTAACGAACAGTGAGCACGGACTAAAACTTTTTGCATATTACTCGGGAAGTTTATGTTAGTTACGAGGCATGTTTATGTCGTGTTAAGAAATTGCTATTATGGACGGGAATAATGCACGAATACACGCACTTCTCTAGGCGACGAATGTATTACTGAGCAACGATATCACAAATCGGTTTAGATATGTCAACATCAAGGTCACGGAACACTCGGAATTAGTTACGAAGCATGTTTATGTCGCCAAAGTTTGTCGATATAACAGCTTTCCTAATCTGAATTATGATCTGCTTTAACGCTTCATATCTCGCTTCGCGGAACTGAGCGACGATTTTGCCACAGGAAAAAGTTGTTTCTCATGCAAAAGCGCGTCGAACGAGCCTAGCCTCATTAAAATCGGAGCTGACTGTGTACTTCTAAATATTTACCACAAATTGTTTTGTTTTATTTTTTTGGCCGTGATAGTGCATTCTGTTTGTGTTAATAAATAAGTGAAAAAGAGTATATTCTTTTTTATACTCTTTGTTTGATCATCATGATTTTTTTAAGTATGCCGCGGAAGTTTGACTATAAATTCAAGTGTGCCGTGAGATAAGAAAAGTTGAGAAACACTGATCTAGATGAATGTTGCGATAACGAGTGATCGATTAATTTTGCTGTTTGATGTAAGAACCGCCAATGCCAATTTGATGCCAATCCCTGTATTTAACATCGTAATGCATCGATTTGCAACTTTAATGAACATACAAAAATATTGATACATTCAACCCCTCAACAGATTTCTACAACAGAACATCAATTATTTGAGTGCTCAAATGCTCTCAACATTCATATTGCACGTCTTCACGTTACACGTGCGCGCATGTTTAACGATTTATTCATCAGTATGCAGATGCTTACATATGTGTGCTGCCCCATGTGCAAACATGTCTTCTCGAATTAAGAAAATCGTAAAAGTCGTATAATTATATTTAAATAGTCGTACCTCCACGTTGGACGGCGCACTCAGTACGTAGATCATCGCATCAGCGATATCCTGGCCCTGCAGACTATTTCCTCTCAGCATTTCTGGTGTGACACCGAAGTCCCTTATCATATCTGTATCCACCACGCCGGGGCTAATGCTCTGTTCCCCAAAGTTTCATCATTAATCGTTTTGATAAGTCGTACGATTTTATCCTTTTTTTCCTTTTCTTTTTCATTACGAATACTTTGATCATCGATTCGATCGAGACGAAAATTCTAATTTGATATCAGCCGTCGACGCCGAAACAAAATTATAACCCCGCCTAATGTATAATCGCAAGGAACTGTAATTTTATTTATTTGATTGAAAGGATAAAAAATTGAAAGGATCCGATACGATTTACTGTTTTTCTCGACGATAAATTAGTCGCCTTCCACGATAAGCATATGAACGTTGCCGTAATATCGGCACCGAGACACAACGATAACGCTTCATTGTTTCACCGTCTCACTGTGAATTCAACAAGGGCAAATTTGATCCGACGGTCGGAGCGATCTCTTTGGCTGACTCGATACTGACACTTGGGATACTTTGTCTTCTTTCGACGGATCGATCCGATTTGCAACAAGTTTTATTTATCAAGTATTTTATTCAGTATATTTGGCGCTTTACGTACCGTTACTTTTATGTCGAGCTTTGCAGCGATCATTTCATGGCGCAAACTATGTGACATACCGGTGACGGCGTATTTACTGGCGGAGTACAGACTATTCGATACAACCATTGCTTCCCCATAGTGACCCATGATGCTGTGAATTAAATCATAGCAGTAATATCAGCAATTGTCGATCTTATGATCTAAACCTGTGTGTGTGTGTGTGTGTGTGTGTGTGTGTGTGTGTCTTCATGTACGCATTCACTTGCCGAGATAATGGTCACACATCTCTGAACGAACGGAAGATAGATCGAAGATTGAGAATAAAGTCGCTATTGATTGTCTCTCTCGACATACTCGATTCCCCGTGTCTACTTTGCGAGTTATTAATAACTCGCAATATCCGCTTTTTGGTGGTTGATCTATTACGTATATATTGTACTCGCCAAATAAATAATTTTACACACGACATCTTACGATTTGTAATTGTGCGACTGTGCTGCTTCTTCTATGGTAGTCAAGATACACGTATACCGTAAATACCGTATGATACGTGTGAAGGTCAATTTAACGGATGTGCCGTGTGTAATACGTTCGCAATTTCATCTAATTGTTAAGTGAGTCAAGCTGTCGTCGAATGACACGTGTTGCGTAATATCCGACCGCTACGTTCTAACGTGTTCTACGATTAACGTGCAAATTGGTTTCAAAATAGACCTATTTTTGCGTACTTCACTTCCACGTACCTGTTCATATTGATGATATGACCGCGGGTTTTACGTTTCTTGATGGAACGCGACATCTCCCGCGAGCAAATCGCCATCGCGATCACGTTCACTTCCATGATCGCCCGATATTTCTCTGTTGATCCGTCTATTAACAAATCAATGACGAACGATGTAACTGTTGAATATATATACTCCATACTCGGCTCGCACTACATCAGCTGGAAACTTTTATCAATTCTCGCAATTCTTTGCATATCTAAGATAGGAAGTAAGATTGAGAAAGAACGCCTGTGTCTCCCAAGGTTTCTTTCCCTTCCAAAAGCAACTTTTTAACGATGTTATTTCTCCTTGTTGACAACAATAACGCGATGTTTACACATATTTCGAATAACGATAACAGACACGGAATTGTTACTTTGTTACTTAAAGAAAAGAAGAAGCAAGCAAAGAGACAGCCTGAAAGGAAGTTATTAGTGAGAAAGAAACTAAGAAGAAAAGAAGAAAGAAAAAAATCTCGTTACTTTTTTCTTTTTTAACGACGATTGAGCTAAACGATTGAGTTACTCGAAAGATATTATTATCCCAATTCTACTCTTTGCTCTTCGCATCTCGCGTTAATGAGTATATATATATCCGGTGAGCTTCTATCCGGTGGTCAAATTTATAATGACCGAGATGCGGATTAATAGTGAATAAAGATGAATTCAAGCCTATAATCGTACCTATAATCGATTCGTTCGAAACAGTACCGGCGTTGTTGACCAATACATCAACACCGCCAAATTTATCGTCCGCCCATTTGAATACCCGAAGGATATCCTCTTCTTTGCATACGTCGCACATCATCGGATATATCTCGGTCTTGTGCTCGCGTTTGATGCGCGCCGCCAATTCCTCCAATTTTTCCAGCCGCCTCGCGACAGCGATCACCCTCATGCCCTTCTGCGCGAGCATTTTCGTAACCTGCGCGCCGATTCCGACGCTTGCCCCGGTGACGAGCGCGACTTTGCCTACCCAGCGATCCATCGCGTCCAAGTTCCTGTGCCAACACTGCCGCGCCAACACTGTCTCGTAGTCTGCTGCGAACAGTATAGCGTGTGCGTTACGTCTTCCCTCTTTATATAGCCGTGTTACCCGACGCCCTCCAATCGTCCGACTCTCGGCCGATTCAGAGTAATTCCTCCGAATATTCAGCAGTCCCCTGTCCACACTTTTGCATGAGATAGTAATCACGCATAAATATACATATGGAAACTGATAACGCTAATGTAAGACGACTTAATTATCTCGTATGCAAAATACGTGCGTCAAATCTCGTACATTCGACACTTCACTTCACCAGCAGACATTACATTTCATGTGACAAACAAAGTGACGCACTAACCAAATAGATAAGACGCATCGAGCACATTTCTGCGTATATATTCATTATAGATTCCTCGTCAATTAACTTTCAACTTCGTCGAACAATTCTCGTCATAAAAAGTATCGCTTTGCGGAAATCACGCGTAAACAGCGTGAAAGCACTATCTTTCGCGATGTTCTTATCGGGCGAGACCCGAATCTTACTACGTAAGACCATAATAATTAAGATCACTTTCCCTCGATTCATACCACGCGTATTTTGTACGCTGCATTATGACTCATATTCTAAACTCTTTTATCGTCTCAAAGTGACCTCATAAGCCACCTGATTGGACTGTAAGCCACTTTTAATAATGAAGAAGAGCTCAGAATATGAGGCTAAGGCTGTTGAATTTTCAATGAGGCGACAGTATCTTATCCACTGTTTAATAATCGCGATATTTATAATGTAAATAGTACGTTTGCTTCTATAAATATCCTCATTTTCATCTAAGGCTTCAAGCTTATTAAAATCAAAAGGGAACGTTGACGTTGATTCCTCCGTGAGAGAGAGAGAGAGAGAGAGAGAGAGAGAGAGAGAGAGAGAGAGAGAGAGAGAGAGAGAGAGAGAGAGAGAGAGAGAGGGAGAGGGAGAGGGAGAGGGAGAGGGAGAGGGAGAGGGAGAGGGAGAGGGAGAGGGAGAGGGAGAGGGAGAGGGAGAGGGAGAGAGAGAGAGAGCGAGAGAGGGAGGGAGGGAGAGGGAGAGGGAGAGGGAGAGAGAGAGAGAGAGAGAGAGAGAGAGAGAGAGAGAGAGAGAGAGAGAGAGTGAGAGCCGAGAAGGATATTACATTAACATTTAGGTACGTAGTGACGAGTAGAGTAGAATAAAAGCCACAACAACAATGTGCAAGATACAATTTCGTTTCATTTATTTCATTTCATTTCACTTTATCTCACTTTTCAACAAACTTCTACGATAGAAATAGAATAGATAGGATAGACAGAGCATTATTATATCTTTTACTCAATCAATACTGAAAATAGTTTATCCTGCGACACTAGCGTACGGACATTTATGGAGAAAATCGACATCTTGTTTTAACCTAGACCGTAAGATATTTCGGATTTCCCTCAAGAATCAAAGAGTGTGCGTGGGATACTCGAGTCATCTTGCTACTGTTGCCACTGGATAGAATCGTGGTCGGACGTCGTTCGCTAAGCCCCCCCATCGAGAGCGCTACCGATAATAGTCAGCTCCGTAACCTGAAAATAATAAATAACGAAAGTTGCATCTACATCCCGTGTGTATTCTCAAGTGTGTGTGTGTGTGTGTACTTTCAGTTATTTCTTAGTAGAATGTACGAGTCAAGCTCGAGCCTGCTCCTGTTTCCTTCCGGCGATATGTATTTCGTGCAAGTGAGAAAGAGAGAACAACACAAACTCCGACCGTGTCAATTCCGCGCGTCAACATTACGGTCACGATGCGCGCGATCTGTGTATCGATCTCATCAGAAGCGATACCTGTACGTGCGGCGGTGTACCGAGAACGTACACGACCGCGTCGGCCACGTCCTGGCTCAGCAAGTGCGGAGCGAGTTTGAAAAGTGTATCGGTATCCACTATTGACATGGCCATATCCGTCTTCACCAAGCCGGGTGACAAGCTCTAAATGAAACACAGAAATGTTATATGAAGGTGCGCGCTCTGAACCTTGACGAACGAAACGTAATTGAAGGCTCGTTATAACGAGCCTTATATAAGCTTTGCAACTTTTTTATAAGTAAATTTCAGTTTTCCGACTATCCGACTGCGGACTGCGGACTACGGATCTGAGTAGTCTCTCCATCTGCTCCATGATGTCTACGTGGTGTCGCATCGACTCGAGAGAGAAAAAAATCTAGGTCGCAGCTTTAATCACCGTCACTTTAATCGGCGCTTTTGCAGCGGTAAGTTCGTTCCTGACCACCTCTGTCATTGCTGTTATCGCGTATTTGCTCGCATGATAAAGGCTTAACGGAGCTTGCGCCCTGTTGGCGTCGTGCCCGACGATGCTGCAAATAATAAAAAACGCCGAGATAACACGGGTGAAACATTGCGTTGCATTTTGCGACAATTTGGCGCGGTGAGACGCGGTGAGTGAGGTCCGAATAACCGAATAAAGCGGTCCGGTTAGGATGAAACAATACGCGCGGTAGCAGCGCTTGTGTTTCGACGCAAAGCAGACGCGCGTCAGCGAATAAAAGACTCGATGATATTCTTAGGAGCAGCGAGTTGTAACGAGCGAGCGTGTGTGGTGATATACTAGCGACCAAGTTAGCCGGAATATCAATATCCAAACTCTTATATTCCACACTTGAACCTCCCTTCCGCTACTTTTCACTTTACAAGACACGATTTATTGCAAGATATCGACTTCACGCGCTTAACCATATGTGTGTGTGTGTGCCGTAATCACCTGTTTATATTGATAACATGCCCTTCGACGTTGCGTTCTCTCATCGATCTCGTGGCTTCTCGCGTGCAGATCGCAGTGGCAATCACATTCACGTCCAGTGTCGCGTGGAATTTCTCAGTGGTACCATCTTGGTGAGTGTGATAAAATCAAGAAAAAAAGAAAGAAACATCGTGAATGTCATGCACCGACTCTTTTTCTACCGTAATCTCTTTCTACCGTATTCTCTACTATCGCGCACCGATGATAGTCTCCGAATAAAGAACGCCCGCGTTATTGATGAGAACGTCGACGCCGCCGAGGTTCTCGGTGAATTTGAACGCCTCGAGGATCTCATTCTCCTTCGTAACATCGCACTGTACCGGGTAAAAAGTGCCTTTCGCGGATGCGAGCCGTTCGGTGATCTTGTGTAACTTGTCGAGTCGTCTCGCCAGGCCGACGACTTTGAGGCCGTGCTCGACGAGTGTCGTGGCTATAGCCTCGCCGATACCGACACTGGCTCCGGTCACCACAGCTACTCTACCTGTCCAGCGATTCATGACTGGGCGAGAACGACTGTCGCTCGTGTGATCGAGTGCGTGATACACACGCAGTACACAGGACGTACTCGTCCGCTCACGCAACGACAACTGATAGTGCCAGCTCTTTGCTGTCCCTTCTTTTACTGTACTCGCCAAACCGGTTTCTCCTCGGAGTAACTTGGAGTTTCTTCCTCCCCGACTTGCTTATCGGCCCGATCGTCGCTTATCAGACGAGAGACAAACAGCTATAAGTAAACGAGAGAGAGAGAGAGAGAGAGAGAGAGAGAGAGAGAGAGAGAGAGAGAAAGAGAGAGAGAGAGAGAGATAAAATGTTAAAGAATTGACAAATTAACGATAACCACACTCGTATAGATAACGCGTAGTAATGTAGTTCACAATAACGAAACAAAGTTACTTTAAGTCTAACCAGCAGTACCAGTTGAGTGGTACTGTGTAAAGTCATTGAGGTAACACGCGCAACAACGCGCTTTAGGTAGGCTACGTAAAGCCGTTGATCAGATATAAAGCCGCATGAAGACAATTGTGCGCCTAACGCGTCGTCGTGAGACATTAGATCGATTTGATCGAGACATTATTTTGTGTCTGCGCGTCCGCAGACACGCCATGATATTTCCGACACATCGTGTCTGGAATGTGTGCGGACGTACGTACCGTCAACCTATCGTATACCAACTCGTGAGATACCACGAGAAATGACGGGTAATAAAATTCAACAGTCATGATGAATAACGTAGCGCGAGTGAAGAACGCGGGCTTTACAAATTTTATCGACTTGATTTAATCAGACTCCGTCTGATCTCGAAAGGCCGAGGCGGTTCGTCTCCTTTCGCGCCAATGCAAACGTAAACAGGCTTTACCGCGGGTAATACCCGCGAGGAGGAGCGCGGATCACTCGCGGACGGAAGAGACACACACCTTTACCGGAGGATTGGTAAACTCGTTAGCTCGCTGAAATTTTTCGCGATCCGTTCCTGTTTGGTATTCGTGGCGTATCACTTGACGCGGCGGAAACATACAATATGATACTTTGTTTTCGCTTGTGGATGCGATTGTGATGACAAGCGGAATCCAGCACGAATGAATAAATTCTCGCGCTTCTGTGCTAAATATTAATAAAGCCGGAAAGGATAAACGAGGATAAAGTACCAAGTACTTTAGGCGAGACGGATTATTATTCCGACGAAAATTATTATCGATGCAACACGCGTCGCGCGTCCCGAAACATGCATGCATCGAATGCGTAAATCGTAGAATTTACATTTCTTTTCTCCAGACGGCTTTATTATTAGTCGGAAAGATCGAAGGCAGCTTTCTCGCGTTATAAATAATCCTACGCGTATTCACAAATCTCTTTTCCACAGATAATAGATTCAGATAAGGTTCAGCGTTTAATAAAAATCTATTGAAAAATGGCGAGTCGTAATTAAAGAGATTAGCAAGATAAACCCGGTGTCGAGAACGACAGACTCTGAATTGCTGATTCAATCGGCATATGCACGTAAACATCGTAAACATTGTCGCCAGCGTGGGGTTCACCTTGTGCCTGAACATTTTAATTTTTATCAAGAGTCGCTCCTCGCGACGTGCGTTCAACCAGCTGTTTTGCATTGCAACAATGTGCACTCGCATTCGTATATCACTCGCAAACATGAACACTGATGTTGTCACGTCGTGGTTAAGTTTCAAGTCGGAAAGCGATGCACGGAGATCGCTATCAGAACGGCGTTAACGGGATGGGGGGGGGGAATACAGCGCCTGTGTGTACGAGACGGGGGGAAAGATGGGGGAGAGAGAAGATTTTTGAATATCGCTGACGCGATCGCCGCTGCCGCTTCGAGTGTCCTTCGTAGTAGCGAGTTTCCGCGTTTAACTCGCTCTCGTGACGCTTTCCGCTTTCTCGCGGACGTGTCTCTCGCCTGTGCGCAACTTACAAGACCCATCGCGAAACATCTACGAACGAAAACGCGTCCCCTAAATATCACTTCTTTGCCTCTAAAATCTTATCGCTCAAATACAAGGAATTTGTCGAAATAACAGCTAAATGTTTAACGGTAAATTCACTGATGTGACAATGAAAATCCTGCTTTACCGAAAAATACCTCTCTACGTTGATTAGCACTCGTTATCTTAGTATACGCGCGATCCGCACTCGCCGAACTCTCGCGATCACTCTGCCCGACAGTCTCAACGACAGGCACTTTGTACACGTGGAGACCTTCGTACGTCTGTAAATATTGCGTCGCAAGTAGGCTCAAGTAACGATCGGTTGATAGAATTTCATGAATAACAAGACCGCGCGTTACATGCCCGCTACAATCTACAATCATCAGGATCACGCAGACTGGACGTGTGCGTATCTCGTCATGTCTGTTCCGAGAAGCCGCGAAGCTCGCACGATAATTAGCTCGTATGATATTATTAACCAGAATAGATGATTTCGCTCATCAAAGTCTTTCGCTTGTCGAGTCTGCGTGCAACAGATAATATATTTATCGTATAAATCGCATCGACGTATATTCTGTTTGCACCGACCATCCGTGAAATGTAAATGTAAATGAAAAATTTCCTTATCAACAACTTCAAGGTGAATTCGTAAAGGATAGTCTCGTATCGTTGTTGATATTAAAAATAACTTGAAAGTTAGCTAATTAGCAATGACCATTGCTAAAGAAAATAATGCATCAACTTGTCACAAACATTAGTTCTAATGTAAGATTAATGTAAGAGCGAAAAAAGTTTCCAGACACTTGTAAGTATGCATCTGTGATTTTGATAAACAGCGTGTCGTATGAAAAGAGAGAGAGAGAGAGAGAGAGCACACGAGCACATATTATGTATCCCCGCTGAAAAGTCTCATACATCGTGCTGCGCACGAATAAAGAGAAAATCAGACGAGCGTCTTTTCATAGGACTTACGCTTAAATACGAGACGAGGGAGCAAAGCGAGGAGAAGGAAAAATAAATCGAGTCGAAACGAGGAGCGAAAGATTCAATCGTACAAATTTCTCTGTCCGTCATACAAAATATAAATGTACACAAAATATCGGCGATGAGGACGAAATGAGGTGAGGAATAAGATAAAAAAAACAGACGTTGAAATCTTTAACATTGATAACGAAATATCTCGGCCGTTAAAAACAAGCGGCAAGAAAGAAGGAAAAAAGGTGAAGAAAAAGGAGTGATTTTACAGCAGTGATCGATTGGTTATTAGGAAACCATCGGAATAAATCGTTACTGAGGGAATGGAGTCTTACGAGAAAGACCGCATTTTCAGTCACTTTAGAAACTTCCTGCTCAGCAATTCGCAGTACAGTTCCTTTTTGCGTGTTACCAGAAGCACAACGAAACTCTCCCCTAGAGGAATCCTGCACGTGAGACGAGATATCTACAGCAAAAAAGAGAAAAGGGGCACAGAGTGCCTTTTTCACTGCCAAAAGTTCATTTATATATGTGTGTGTGACAGCAGTACACGAGACAGCGGAAAATATGCAAATACTAACGGCACAGTCGTTAGCATTATACTAGCAAATATCTAATATATAATATGGTGATTATATCTGGTAAAGCTGTTGCAATCTCGTTGTCTCGTACGCGTGCGAACACGCGAAATATCATTGTCAACTGATAAATACGAAATACGACCAACCGGTCGTAAGCCTAGAAGAGGGGCTAGAGCCGATATAACGCGAATCAAAGGCACCAACCGTCTCTCGTATGCTCTCTTGTTACGCTCGCCTCTTCGCGTGTCCCAAGCCGCATTATCATACCGTTTGTCGAGATTGGTATTGTTGTCCGATGTGCAAAGCGACTCGGTGTGAGAAGCGAGATATCCCCAAGTTCCGGAGAATGGTGGCACGCGATACTTTGCGCGGAAAGTTTCGCACGTTTTGCCAAGTCCGATGTATGGGTATCGCCTGTCTCTCTCTCTCTCTCTCTCTCTCTCTCGTTTCGCGTACAAATCTGCAAGTTTCGAAACAAAAGAAAATACCTACGTATACTCAGCGCCACAGGCATCCGCTAAATTGCCGATTTAGCGGAAGCCAAATCGGCAATTTGGCTCGACGTCCATAGTTCTTCGAATTTTCCAATTGTATCGGAAAATCGACATGTACACGCATAAAAAGGTGGTAAAAAAAAGCGAAGTTTGCACCGATCGAAGACGGAGCGAATTTTGATGTAGCACACTACGAACGCGCCTCGATCGCATCCCGAACGAATCTCGAGTCGAAAGCTTTGAGTAAGAGCAAAGTCCGCTCGAATTTTCCCATCCCCCCGATCGAATCGGAGTGTCCGCCGTTAAAATCGAGACGTAACGCCTCATAAGTTCAGAAAGAGACGAAATGAATCTCGTACCGGCGGAAGGGTAAAATATGTCGGGAGAGAGAAAGAGAGAGAGAGAGAGAGAGAGAGAGAGAGAGAGAGAGGGGTCGCGCGTCATCATGTTTGGAGGTGTCAAAATTGCAAGCTCCGCCGACGAATCTGGCCGGATCGAAGATATCCTCGATAATGAAAACGCACGATTGTTTCAGTTTCCCTTTATCCCATGTCGAACTCTCTTCTTCCTCCTCTTCCTCTTCCTCTTCTTCTTCCTCTTCTTCTTCCTCATCTTCTTCTTCTTCTTCTTCCACAAGTCGCCAAGCGACTACTTTTCTCCAATCTGTTGTATTTCGAAAACTTTAAAAACAATATGTTGCCTTTGCTTCGGCAAATTAGCATTATGTGGTTACGATATTACAGTTTAGAAAATATTAATTGTAACATGTAACTTGCAACTAACAATTTATCGTTGTTTATACGTTGCTTGTGAAAGAATACCTCCAATGATTAAACGATGATTTCCAGACTACTTATCCGGATAATCTGCGCCTAGCACAAAGCGCAATTATTGCAGCACGTCATTACCGCACGTAATCGTTATTACGTATGTAAATATTGCATCATCATATAAATAAATAATTTCGGTTTTTCGTTATTGGTCAAAATGAATGATGCAATATTTTACAGTGTTTTTGAGTAATCGTACAATATTTGTACGTCGTTGCAATAATGTCGCAATATTGCAGCAATGTCGCTGCAATTGTCGCTTGTGCTGTATTTTCAGAATTGGCGAAGCGTTTTGAGAGAGAGAGAGAGAGAGAGAGAGAGAGAGAGAGAGGGAGAGAGAGAGAGGGAGAGAGAGAGAGGGGGGAGAGAGAGAGAGAGAGAGAGAGAGAGAGAGAGAGAGAGAGAGAGAGAGAGAGTTATTGTATGTCGGTCGAACGTTTAACGTGTGAAAGAGTGAAAAAATAAACGTTATCGTGGAGATGTCGAGAGAGCATTTAGGACACATTTTGATTTGGGAATTTCAGTCCAGGGCAACATTGCTCTCTACGATCTAGCGATCAATAAGATATGCAAGATATTTATGGTGCCAGATGTTATAAGTATAAGCCAGAGTGAAAGATAAAAAAGTTGCAACGAATTTAGAATATAATATTCGAGAAGAATTTCAATCATTTTTTTGGAACGGAAGAACAGGAGAACTTCAGGTCACCAGGATATTGAAAATCTTAATTTAAGATGGAAACAAGTGGTAAATAATAGTGGTGAATATAAAATATATCTTAGATTAAAGTGGAATGTATTCTTTTTTATTTTAGAAGTTATTTTAGAAGTTGCTCCAAACAAACCGTGTTACTTACAGGATGATTATCAACTATTTATCAACAACAATATTTATTTATACTAATAATAAGGAAGATAGGGAGAGAGCACCGGAGCGGACCGGAGAGCTTTTCCTCCATTTCCTACTATTAAATCACAATCGGGGACGCGCTCGCACGTGTGAAATCTGCGAATTTGCGACACGACGAATTGAATTATTTACGCACGAGCAGTCGAGCACACGCGAGCATGACGCGTCGCTTTGGGATAAAGAGGTATGCAGTTCGTTTATTTGGAGGGCCCTCGCTCACGACAAACTGACATGCAATTAAATCGACGTTCGACGTGACCTTTGCACATGGAAAATTTGCCGCTATAGAATTTATCTATTGTCAGTGCGGAGAGCGATCAAGGCCGATGGAACCTTGTAATCGTCGTCGGCGACTTCTACTTTTAATATTTTCTTGTATGCGATTCTGCAAACGCACGACTCGATACTATTGCGAGAATCGATACTTCGCCATTGACACTCGGATTATTATATACCCGTGAGTCAAAAGGAGAAAACAAATACCAGCGCCAGCAATCGTATCGCGGATACGCCCGGCAAGAGAGATGCCCGGCGCACGGCAAACGATAAAATTTCACGTAAAATAACGGTGATACGTTATAAAAACAGACGTCGATTTTGCACCGAATGACGTGCATTTAATATTTATGTACACGATCCCTTACAGAAATCTTCTTCCATATGTCGCCAGGGATTGTACGCCAGGGATACGAAGCGACAGAAATATATGTATGTAATATGTACACATATGAGGTACCTCTACGCAGGAACGTATCTCTCTGTAGAAATTCCGATCCCTCAGGAAGACGTGCGCGGCCTCACCACGAGCAGCAGCCTCGGCACATACGGTTATCCCGTGAGAACGAATGCGGCACGCGCTTTCCCTGATATCCCGATATAAAGTAGTAGCCGTCCCAGCCGCGCGTCTCCTCGTCGTTATCCTCGTCGTGATATTATCCCGGAGATTTGGAGATTTTGCGTCGATTTTGCCGCCAAATCGCCGACCTCCGTCGCGTCGCGGGAACATGACGAAGGAGCACAGCGAGAAGGACGATGAAAAAGCATGATAGATTTGCAATTGATCGCAAAAAATCGTCGTGTTTCGATAATATTAAACTCTAAGTAAGTAAGATTCTCTGGTAAAACTTGGAAATAATGGACTTCGTACGTGACGTGATACGTTGATCTTGTCTTGACACGACTTACATGCTACAAAATGTACGATAGAATACATGCGCGCTATCTTTTAACGCGGTAATTATATAACTGCGGTAGATTTTAGCATAATTATACATAAGCTTTTGAGATAAGATATACTCGCATGTCGAATCAGTTTTAGCGATAATCACGCGCATACTTGCGAATCGAGAGCGCTGTCGCCGTCGAATTTAAGCGCAACATTCGCCAGGCTATTCTCGTACGTATTCAACAAAATTCCCTTCGGTTTTCTTCCTTCCCCGGTGCAAAACGCGACGGGAAGGCATGCATCCTACACCCGTGTAGATACATCGCGTACATCGCGTTGCTGGAAAACGCTTACGGGAAGCGAGAAGGAGCAGAGAATGGATCAGCGAGTAATTTTGACCATTGATTGACGTCAACCAATGGTGATGTTAACCAATGGTGAGAAACGACGTCGCGACTCGACTTTCCGGTAGACAACAGGCGACAGTAATGTTCGACATGTTTCCGACAACCAGTTTACTTTCACTTTCGGATACGGGCTTATTTGCTCGCGTACTCGCGCATACGCGCTGCCAGTGTGTGTTTGAAGACGCCGAGTATCATGCCGCCTTCCTTAGGAAAGAAGCCGTTCTCCTCGATCTCCTCGATCGTTCCATTCTTCGTTCGTTGTTCTTATGGACTTCGGGCTGCATCCTCCCAAAGCCAAAGCGAGAAGCTATATCATCGGCGGATAGCCGAAATTTTTCAGGGCTCCGTACTTCGTACGAGTACAAATTCCGTATCCGATCTGGAGCGCTCCGTAGCGCTCGGACCTGATTGAATCCCCGACTGCGCATTTAATCGAGAAGAAAGAATTTCTCAAGCTGCAATTGTGAATCACGTTGTTAATAATCTCGGGGACGACTTCAATGCCCGTGATTACACCGATGAATTTAATTGTGACAGCGATGGATCCGATTGCAATGTAGAGCTTGTTCCTTTCAAAATTGAACATTGAGTCAATGCAAAGTTACCGAGTGAATGTTTTCCTTTGAAAATCCAAGTGTCCAACGATGTTGTCCAACGAACGAACCGCGGAAATCTCTCCTAATGCATCCTTGGAAACGAAAGCAACGTTCGGTATCGCGACGAGACATGTGTCTCGTGCCAAATGACTTCTACCGCGTCATCTCGCGCTTGACCGTAGAAATATGGACGAGCACTCTCGACTTTTGATTGATTGCCTGCTGAAGAAAAATCTGTTATTAAGAACCAAGCATTAAGGATCATACAAGATCGTACAAGCCGGCGCATATCTTCGAGTCCAATTGAATACTAGAAAATATTAGAATAGCCTCCCTCGATTGAACAGTAGCGAATAATCCAAGATTAAGATAAAAAACCGCAACTTAATCATTTACAATTGCCAGTCTATAATCTACGAAGAATCGGAAGCAAGTTACACGAGTAAAACGAGATACAAGTTCGAAATGTACGTTGATGTTGATGTTCTGCAAACATCGACAATTCAGTGCGACAATGTCAATGCATTCGCTGCCGTCGCGGTAAAAATAGATCGAAAAATTCGAGGACAGGCTTAATCTCGCTTAATGCGAGAAGATTCAAAGACCAATGGGAATTTGGCGAATGTCAAATTCCCGCACGAACGATCGTCGCGTACGAGCTCATGTCCTCGAATACGTTACGTTCCATGTTCGCGCGCTTGAGTATCGTGTGTTTCCGCGGTAATCGCAATAAAGGTGTTTCTGTGTTTGTTCAACTTACAGTTTCGGATTCGCCACGATGTTGCCTGCGAAGAGATCGGTAAAACCTGCGAGATGTAATGATCGAAAGCGGATCGGAATAAAGAAGACAGAGAAAGGGGAAAGGGGAGAAAGGGGAGAAAGGGGAGTGCTGGGCCGGGTGGGGAGGTTGACAGTGGAGGGTGGAAAGTGCTGCGTTTCCACCCTTCGTCAGCTTCGTCCCGTTCGGAGCAGTCAGCAGCGCGTCGTGCAGCTTCGCGCCACGTGCTTCTCGCGATCCCACCTGCCTATCCTGCCTGCGCAATCGAGAAACCACGCGAAAAATGATGCCCTCTGTCCACGATGGGACCATCCGAGGGGACATCCGAGGAGACAGGCGGTTCTAACCAAATGCATCTGTCCAACTTTGAGGATATCGAGGACACCTTTGCTGTCATCGTGACCACGTGTCGACATTAACTTCGCAACAACGTCAAAACGCCAACAACTCAAACACGTGCGTTTGAGTGGTGAGTCTTTTAAAAATCTCGTAAGTCTCCAAACTTCTCGAAGTAATCGGTTAGAAATCAATTTTTCTTTTACGATTTTAATTTAGCACCACGTGGACACGCAGTCTACGTAGTATTGTAGTAAATATTCATTGGCGAACCTTCGTTTGAAAACGATTGGACGGGAAAAACACGCGCAAGCGCGTTTCCAGAAATTTAAATTAGTAAGAAAATATGTGTACATATATATATATATATATATATGTTTTTTTTACATCATCTTTCTCGATTATTAATACAAATATTTTTATCATTAATAATCATCATTCATTATTACCATATATTGTTTGAAAATAACCTAATGTACTTGATACATAAAATGTAAAGCCTCGAAGGCTGAGCGAAGTATGAATTATTTATATCTCGCAACACGCACAGATACTCCATTTATAAATAACAAATAATCAAGTTTGCTCATCGGCTCGTACGCTACAGGTTTCGAAAGGTTTCATCAAACTCCGTGAGGGCAGTCCTCTGTTCGCGAGATGGAGTGTTTTCTTTTTTCTCTTCTAATTTTCACGAGAAATTATATAATTCATTTATATCGCGGGACACAAAATTGACATTTATTTGTCGCAACGTCGACATTTGTTTACATCTTCTTTGTATCGTTTCGCGGGTATTATCTCACTATTAATATCCATTATGTCATAACTTGCGCTCATTAAGGTTTTAATTGACACTCTAGCAAATAACGTAAGTATTTGCGGGTGTGCGAACATTCGTGCTTTGTTTGTAAGAGCAAAGTGCTGAAATATGTAATTTAGTGGAACACATTTGACAAGTAAGATGGGTGAAAAGCAGTGCTTAATGTGCGAAAATCAAGATCCTCTCCTGATTCTCTGAAATATTTGTATTGAAATACAAGCCAAAAAGCGGACAAAACAGACGACAAGTAAATGCCAGTGCTCATTCGAAGTGGGAGGCAGGAAGGGGATGGAGGGAAAGAGGGAGAGAGGGGGAGAGAGCTTACTCGCAGAAATAGCGAGTTTGGTAATACTACATGGGCTGAAAAGTCTTTGGCTTAACAATGAAAAAACGATCTTTTTAATGAAAAAAGTGTTTTATTCCTCGACATAATCTCCATTCAGAGTAATGCACTTAGTGTAACGGTCCGCTAACATTTCGATGCCGGTCTTACAGTGCTCGGTGTCAAGTCCCTCAAAATAGGCATTTGTTTCCAACTTGACCTCCTCATTCGAGTAAAATCTTTTACCAGCGAGCCACTGCTTCAGTCGGGGAGAAAGGAAATAGTCGCTGGGGGCCAGGCCTGGAGAATACGGGGGATGCGGGACCAATTCATAGCGCAATTTCTTTAATTTATCGGTCGTATCGCGAGCCGAGTGAGCTGGAGCATTGTCTTGGTGAAACAAAATTTTTTTCTTTGCCAAATGTGGCCGTTTGACCTTGACCTCGTCGTCCAATCGATCCAGTAATGTACAGTAATATTCTTTATTGATAGTTTTATCATGTTCAAGATAATCAATGAATATTATGTTATGCGCATCCCAAAAAATACTGGCCAAAACCTTGCCGGCTGATTGTTGTGTCTTCGGGCGCTTCGGACGGCTTTCACCAGGCAACCACTCCGCTGACTGCCGATTGAACTCCGGTGTGTAGTGATGGATCCATGTTTCATCCATTGTGACAAATCGACGCAAAAACTCCTTCTTATTGCGGTTAAACAGGGCCAGATTTTGCTTTGAAAGTCGAACACGTTCCGCTTTTTGCTCAATTGTCAAAAAACGCGGCACCCAACGCGCGCAAAGCTTTTTCATGTGTAAATATTCATGAATGATATGACCAACGCGTTCCTTTGAGATGCCTATGATGTTAGCTAGCTCACTCAATTTCATTTTGCGGTCATTCAACACGATTTCACTGATTTTCTGGATGTTTTCTGGAGTAACTGCCTCATTTGGCCTTCCTGAACGTGGTGCATCATTTGTGCTCGTACGGTTACGACGAAACTCAGCAAACCAATATTTGATGGTTGAATTCGGTGGGGCAGATGTGCCGTAACATTTATCAAGCCATGCCTTTGCTTCAACAGTGTTTTTTCCCATCACGAAGCAATGTTTAATCAAAACACGAAATTCACTTTTTTCCATAGTAAAGATAAATTCAGAGGTAACGTCACTTCGAAAGCTATAACTTGTACACGAGTGAACGAAATATCATGAAATTTTTACAGCATCTAAGTTAAGGTTGGTACTCTATAGGAAATATAAGGATTTTTAGTTTGTGGCGCTATCTATATGTCAGGCCAAAGACTTTTCAGTCCATGTAGTACACGCATTTGACGAACAGATTCGTATTTCCTGTCGAGGATTGAATCGTGACGTTTTTCACATAAATATTTCACATTAGTTCGATACTGCCGTATCGAACGAGTCCACGCGATTGTGAAACTTGCATTTTTTCAAGATATACGCACGATTATGCCGTGCATGTGAGCGCGCCCACGTTGCTTTCGCAAACGAGACGAACGATTATTCGTTTTTGTATTCGTGCCTGCCGAAGGACGTTTAAAACACGCCAATAAAACGAAGCTTTCCGGGGAACTTTGCGAGATAAAATTTCTCGGAAAACTCCCGAGAAGATCCCGATCGTCCCGTGATGAGCAAACACATGGATGAAGAGAAAGAGAGAGAGAGAGAGAGGGGGGGGGAGGGGAGGAAAAGGGGAGGGAACAAAGTGTTAAAAGCTGGTCGTGAAAAAGTTCTGAACAGCGGGGATAAAACGCCATTGGCTAAACCGATAAACATCAGAAAGCTTTAGTCATGTTGAAAAATGCTCCGCGCACCGAGAGGATTCGCGCTCATCCGCGACGAGGGAGATCCCGTAAAGAGCGATGCTCGCGCCGATAGTATCCCCGTCTCGGCGAAAGCTTCCGTACTTTGTTCGAACATTTCCCGCCGCGTGAAAATACATTTATCGGCTTCCATTCGCGAGAAAGCGAAAGCGCCTATCCTTCTGCGACGCGCGGCGTCGATACGGCAAAGAGGCAGCGCGACCACAAACGAGCCTCGCTTAAGAATACACACCGAGGATAGTCATTTCCATGCCTCACCGGTGAGCAGCTTCATAAATCGTACACCGATACCGCGATTCTTCCTCGGGCAGCGACTCGTGACAAGAGATGCGGGAACGCGCGATCATCCCGTGGGATATTTTGTACGATCACATATTTATCGAGCGGATCATAGATTTGCAGTATCTCTTTGGCAGAGACTATCGAGTGACAGACAAGCGCCGATACTTTTCTTTGTAATTTGTCTTCGGTCGTTTAGCTTTGAAGAATTTCGCATTCGATTAATGCACGATTAAATGCATCCATGACCTTTTATTTCCTTTTGTTCAATTTCCCTCTTGTAATACTTTATTCTCTGTTTGACAGTTGGCGGAAACTATTAATGAAACTATTATTCCCAGATCAATATTATATCCCGCACTGGAACAAAATGTTTCTCTGTTGAGAGACGTTATTTGATAATTTGCTTCTCGCTAATCGAATGCGAGAAATAATGCGAGAAATTGTCATTGGGAGAGGAATATAATATATCAATTTGTGACAATTATTCTGTTTGCTATTCCACAAAGCGAGCACAGGGCGTTTATCTATATTTTACCGGATGCGTTTTCCTCTTATCTTACAAGATAATACAGACAGATTTTACGATCGATTTGTCGACAGAGATACAAGTGGTCTGCCATATCACACTGATACAGCTGATCGATAATATAAATACATATTATATAATGGCATTATCGTGTCTCCTGATCCAATAGACAGCGCGCCGGGCTATTGATCATAGCCGCCGAACGCCGAGATCTTTTCGAGATCGAGATCGACAACATACAACCGCTCTCTCTTTGCTCGAAATGCAAAGCGCACCGGCCGAGATATATTAACGCCGAGTCCGAGACGAGCCGATACGTCTGACTGTGATAACGGATAATTTCGGAACTGATGCTACCCTCGTCGTCGCATTAGCATCAATTGCCATGTGGCTTATAATGACCACTCATCGAAATACTGCCGACCCAAAAGCCTGCGATTCGTCACGGCATTGCTGTTGCGCGTCTACACGCAGTCTAATCTGACTCTCACTCAATGCACGAGACTACAGTCGGTGAAACAGTACAAGAAGAGGGGGGGGGGGAGAGAGAGAGAGAGAGAGAGAGAGAGAGAGAGAGAGAGAGAGAGAGAGAGCGTGAAATCAAAAAGCTTATGAAACTACGTAACACGTCGGAAGTTATCGTAAAACGCTAATTTCTTGCGTGACTTCTCTCACCGCGATAAAGTTAATCTTGAGAAATGGGCTGAGGAAGCTGCCATAAAGCTCGAAAGATGATTCCATTGAGGTAAAAGTGCCTGTAATAGTGTGACTTTCAGATTATGATGCAAATACCAACTTGCCCTAAAGTTGCCCTTGCGCCACCAAGTGGCGCAACAAACAAATTTATTACTCAAGGACACTCTCCGGTACACAAAAAGGTACAAAGAAAACAATATATATAGATGTACGTCGATGTACAGCCACTAAAGAAGTGGTAAAAGCCAGAGCATCACGAGTTCTCCAGGTCGTTGCCGCTGCTGCCGTCGCTCGGCTGCTGACGATCTCCTTCGACGTTCTCGCTCTCATCTTGATGCTCCGCGCCGCGCTCCGTCAGCCGGTGATCCTCGTCGCACCGGTGGTGTCTGTCGTTTTCCACTTCCTCGATCGGATGTTGCCGCGCTTGCACCCGTTGCGCGCTACGAACTCGCGACGTCGATTTGTCGCTCGATCTCACGCGCGTTTCTTTCCCGCGTTTGGCTTCCCAACGTGACGATGTGCTCACTGAAACCAGTATTTCCAGACTTAAAAAGGATGCAAATGTGTTCGTTCGTTTGTGAGAGAAGTATAATAATTAGATTGCCGTCTTAAAACCCACCCCATGGCCCTGGCATGAAGTCATAAAGGTGGGTTATAATGTAATGATCGTTCAGCATTGTATACGAAATAATCACAGTGATGAAATTTTTCCTCTTTTAACCGGGCTCTTTCCCAGAGCTGGGAACCGTTGGCGCAAGTTTCATGACTGAGAATCGATAAGTTGCAATTACAGATAAGAATTATAGGTACAGATAGAATCTAATTCTCGTAAACAGCGTACGTGTGCAGATTGCAAAAGTGGAAGAAACTGAAATGACTCGCAATTCTCAGATGTCTTAGGTAAATATCATTGAAATAACCTCGAGAAACGCGCTGCCGGTTCACGTCACTTTCGCAATCACTCCCGTCGGAGAAATCGGAGGACTTGAACTCTCGCTTGGACACTCTTGAACGCTTCTCGTCCCTACCGTACAAGACGTACCGTCCGGTCGACTGGTCCTCGAACTCCTCGTCCTCGCGAGAACGCTTTCGCCGTCGTCGCTACAAATGTTAGGACGTGCGTGAGAATCTTGCGCGTTTTGTCTCGCCGAACGTTGGTAATTCTCTCGATCGGAAAGAAGAATAATAATCACTACATCGTCTTAGAATTCAACTCAGTTCAAAAGAATTTTATGCTCGCGATTTAGATTTATTTCATCGTAACGAGTATATTGCAATTTGTATATTTGGCAGGAACCAGAAAATATGATCTCGCAAATCATGTGATTCTACTTTCTCTACGTTTTATAGGAAAAAAGTAATTTTAAAATATGTCGTATATTGTTGGCTCGATGGACTTCTTTGACTTTCAAAGTATAAGAATAATTCGGCGTCTAATGGTTTAAACCAAAATAATTTCCTTACAATCATCTTATAATTATTAAAAAATACGAGACTGCTTTTTAAAGCGTGAACCTTACATTTACATAACCACACGATAACTCGCTCGCGCTCAGTACGTATGTGTGTGTGTGTGTGTGTGTGTGTGTGTGGTAGCATACTCATACAACAAACACATACATAAAGCAAGATACTTAAATATATTAGAATATTAACGCGTGCGAAGCTTATTGCAACGAAAGAAGAAACCAATCTAATTATGTTGCCAATTATACGCACCTTTCGATCTCGATCTTCGTTAACTCGTTTAATATACCGCGAATGTTGGGTTTTTCTCATCGCTTTATCGCCATCTGTTCTAATTATTCTCCTTGAAACACTCTGTTTTCTGCATTTGTAAATTATAAACAAGTAATTAAGAGCTGTTTATATTTTTGCTCGTATTCTCTTTACCTGCAATTCTTGCAAGTAATCTTTACTATAAATGTGTATGTTTTGTGTAAATAAAAAAATATTTGTCGTGTGTGTATAGACTTCAATACATTATCGACGTATTATGCGAGGGTGTAATCATCACATTATACGTTTATACGATCCTTGAAAATCCCTAAAAACTAATAATATAACATAATTCGTAAGAATATCTATCTTCGTAAGGATAGCTTAAGCAACACGCAGCATCCATATTCCCTTGAGAAATATATCGCAAATCTATGATGATATATACTTGCGCTTCTGTGTTCGACGAGAAGACTTTGGATCGTCGACCGGTGCTCGTACATTGGACTTCGACGTTTCATCATGACTCTTTTCATCATTGTTAGCCAGCACTTTTGCCGATATAACGGGGATAGGAGCGGGGTTCAGAGTGACCAGTACCTTGTAACGTCCACTCCTGTGCCTCATGAGTCCGGCGTTCACCGCGTGCTTTAACGCTCGGCGCACCTGCACAACCAATGCGACGTGTTAAGCATCTTACGTCATACGTTTACGTTACTTAATATTTTTCAGCGACGAGATTTGTACGACTTATGGCGGTTCTCTAATATGCCTGAAACAAATCACAGACAAAGTCAACCAGTAATTTTGTTTTTCTTAATTGGAATTAGCGTCTCGCCCGCGTTTAGTTTGTGTGAAAAATCGAGAAGAGATGCAGAGAGAAAATATAGACACACACGCGCACACACACACACACACACACTCGGACGTTTTAAATGAAAATATTTCAAAGTTGTCTAATCAGGATAATTCCACGAGTTTAAAAAACTCGACAAGCCCCGTTTGAATACGCGCATGTTTGAATGAGCAACCGAAACATAGGTAGATTCCTGTATGAGGATTTCGTCCAAAGTTTGAGTCATTCGAGCGGCGCACCTTGAAACATATGGCGTGCAAATCGCTAACGAAAAATACATCAGCCACCACACGATGGGCGCACGATTGTCACCTGTAGCGTTAGATTCTTCAACGACGCGTTGCTTTGTCGGATAAAAGCGAGGACCTCGCGAGCTGATGAACCTCTGCTGTCGCCGAGATTCACCACTGCGTCCAACACACGGGCCATAAGTCGCGGTTTCGACGGTTTCACCATTCTCGTACTCTCGCGATTCACGATTCGCTGGATCGATCGGTTTCCCTTCGATCGACACTTTGACGATTTTAGACCCAGTGAAAAGCCGAAGAAAAATTTCGAGATAGTTTACATTGGTAGTTCTGGTTTCTGGCAATCTTATTAATATTATACGAAATCGTATGATCGTATTGGATATCAATGATAAATCATGGGACCAAGCAAACCTCGAATTTCAAAGATGCCACTTTGACATCCGAGACTGACGATGACTCTTGCTCGCGTCTTACCTGACCTGACCAATGCTCGAAAGCCGAAAAACATTCGACCGCATTCAACGCGTTCTCCCGTTCTCACCGAACGATCTCGATCGAAACCCGACGTCGGATGCGGGTTGTCTCTCACGAGCACTACGAATTTTGTCGGAGCATCTCGTCACTCGCATGAAAATTGTCGCTGAGACATCTCTACGTTTGTAGTTTGTCTCTACGTGATACTCTTCGTCTGTTCGACGCGATGCTCTTTTCTTCTCTTTACTCGCATCTCTTTACTCGACACATTCATTCTCTCGTATCTCGCGGTTTAATTTCATGGAAGTCTCGCGTCGTCAAAATTTGAGACATTGAAAAAAACAGTACACGTCGCTGTCAATCAAAGTGTTCCCACCAATCTTTCAGCTAATTGTTCGCATCTATAAAGTGAATTGTCTCATCTTGAACCGATGGAACCACCGACAAATTGTTGCAAGTTTTTTATATCTTTATATCTTCAATGAGTTTGATTCTATACAGACTCTCTCTCTCTCTCTCTCTCTCTCTCTCTCTCTCTCTCTCTCTCGCGACTTGTTTACGCGCGGTGATACAAACACAAACGACAATCGAGGTCGCGAGTTCCTATAGCACAGAAAATTGACGTTGTCTTAGCGCGCGACTTACCGTAGCTTTGTAACAGGGAGTACGTCGGGGATACGTCAGCATGTCGGATTTTCACGGTACCGTGATCTCGAATTACGAGTTAAACTTTAAGGACCGCCGTTACTACAACTATCGCCCACGCCTTCCGCCGTACGCGCGCATCTTGTGTGTTCGTTAAACACCGTGTGACTTACCTATTCTCTGCCTCTGACAGAGATACGTTATATACGCGCATGCCGCAATTTATCCCGTATTTGCATTATAACGAACATAGATAGCGTGCAACAAAGCGTGCACCTTTATGCATTATTTTGTACAAATACACGTCGGTCCTATTCCAAAAGGACTATCTTAAACACTTTGCGCGTTTTTTACATCCTCTTTCCGAGACAAACTATATAAAATGGAATAGCCTACACGGGATATTTCAGAAATCTTACACGGAAAAGGACAGACGAAGATTTTGGATCGAATGAACGTGACTGAATAAGCAAACTGAACGCGTTTAGTTTTAAAGGAGGAAATGGAATTTCTCTTTTGACTTCTTCCAAAACACAATTTGTTCTGTAAAAGCGAAAAATTCTGTTTTCTATAACCATAACGCATTCGCACGTTAATTCAACCAATCATTTTTCTCTTTGTAGAATTTCTGAAAAGATTTTAGATAATTCTTAGAAGAAATAACGAAATAATGGAATATATAAGTATATAAGAGAAAATACAGAGTTTATCATCCCGTCGATTTAACGTCGAGCGAGACGCACCGGCGTAGTTGATAGTCGAGGGTAAACCTTCGGCTAGGTATATCTCTCTGTGAAGTGTTCGCATGGACCATAATTTGGAAAATCAATTCGGCTGAGAGCGACTGCTTTTCCGAGGCGTGACCGCCGATTCAAATCCACCGCTTCTGATTTGCGCTAGCGGTGTAGAAACGGCGCTGATTATCAGGCCGGTTGCCTAGTCGTTGCGTCGCGAGTAATAACCCTAACCTAATCCATCTTTCCAAGCGTGCGCCCCGCGCATTTACGTATGTACGAGGGTGGTCCCAGAAGTACCTGACCTGACGTATAGATAGCGGTTGTTGTTTGAAAAGAATGATTATGGTAGAAAGTACCAACCTTATAAAGCTTAAGTTTGAAGTTTTACGACGCTACGTTGTTTGGTATTTGTTTGGCAGCCATCAATAGTGAATGCTCTCAGTGAATTTGTAAACATGGCAAAAATTGGTCATCGTTATGTGATACAATACTTTCATTTGAAAGGCCTCGGTCCAACCAATATGAAAGCGGAGCTAGATTCTACTCTGGGGGAGTCCTCTCCTTCGTTTACAACAGTAAAATATTGGGTGGCAGAATATAAACGAGGCCAAGTACGAGATGCCAAGACGAACATCGCAGTGGTCGACCACGCCAGAAATGGTGAAGAAAATCCACATAATGGTATTGGATGACCGTCGACTGAAAGTGCGCGAGTTAGCACACATGGTAGGTATTTCAAAAAGTGCTGTACATCGCATATTGACTGAAAATTTGGACATGAGAAAGCTGTGCTGTGCAAGATGGGTGCTGCGATTGGAACGAGCAAAACAGCGTCGTGAGGATGTTTCAATCGAGTGTTTGGCGAAGTTTCGCAGCAATAAAGCCGAATTTTTGCGTCGATTCATAACCATGGATGAAACATGGGTCCACCACTTCACATCACTTCGCACCTGAGACGAAGGAACAGTCAAAACAATGGACTAAAGTGGCTTGATGGTTATTTTGAGAAGCTCGACGTTTCCCACTATAAACAGGGCTATCGAAGCTATTGAACATCGTTGGGAAAAGTGTATTGAGCTAAAAGGAGACTATGTAGAGAAATAAAGATCTTTCTTCCCAAATTTTTTGTGTTTTCTTTGTTACTTCTAAGACTACCTTCGTACCAACGGCTGTTTAAATAGCCTACGGTTCGTTCGTTTTTCCAACATATATTATCTTGCGCTGCAAATTGTTTTCGAGACACGAACATGCGAATACGTGTCGCAAGATGGTATACGTTACCATCAAGATTCGCCAGCGATTTGCTGATTCGACATCTGTCTACTTAACCAACGCTGTCACATTTCGGCACCTCGAGGGTGAGCAACGCGAAATTCAAAGTGTCTCTCTCTCTCTCTCTCTCTCTCTCTCTCTCTCTCTCTCTCTCTCTCTCTCATCCTCAGAGACAGAGAGAGAGAGAGAGAGAGAGAGAGAGAGAGAGAGAGAGAGAGAAAGAGAGAGAGAGAGGCGTCCACAAGACTCCTGAAAAACTAGGAAGCATCTCGGATCTGCTTCTGACGTCAGTTCGATACATTTTGTTGTTTGAGAACACATTAACGGAAACATCGGGCGTTTTGAAGAAAAGTTATCAGTCGAAGTTAAAAGAAGTCACCAGGCGACGATAAACGAGAAATGTGCGGTGCACGGGAGCGTAACGTAAAATTCAACGGCATTATCAAGTTTTGGGATACCAGACGTTATGTTTCGCTTTGTTTGTCGCTAAAGGAGAAACGTTTCACATCCGCGAGCGCATTTGCGCACGGACGTATCATTCATAGAATCGATAATTAAATTTTTCTCCCGATCGATTTGCAACGCGACAGTTTCATACCTCGTGGCTCGTGCCGTTCTTCGTTATCGCGGGGGAATATACTCAAGCGCGCACATTGTTTGCGCGTACTCTCGATTAAAAAAAATTAACATCCGACTCCTCATTGCCGTGTTTTAAATCCTGACCCGAATATGAAAATTGACGTAAGTAATGGAGCGTAATGTAAAAAAATTAAAAAAAAGAGGACTAACAAATCGTAACATTTAATCTCAACTTCTTCGATAACATTTTCCTGCATTTTCGATAGTAACTTTCCATAAAAAGGTTAGAATTGAGTAGAATAGAGTAGGATAAAGGAAGAAAGAGAGGGGGAGAGGGAGGGAGAGAGCGAGAGAGAGAGAGAGAGAGAGAGAGAGAGAGAATAAGGATATTTTCTTGCTCGAATGAAAGAATTTTAGGGAATCTTTTCTGAAAATATAAAAAGAGAAACGAAGACATCGTATAAATTTATCGCAACTCATTCTGTGCCGTCTTCCTTTCTTTCTGTTATAGCGCGAATTATCGAATGATTCTGTTGTGGAACGGATTGATGAACGAATTCTCACACAAAGGAAGCGAGGATCAGGCTTGGAACATTATGAAGCCGAAGGTCCTGCTGGCCCTCGCCAACCTCTTCATCACTTCTTACGCTTTCTTTCTGTAAGTAACTCTCCCGAGAGAAGTTTGTTTTTACGTGCATTAAACAAGATCCACTCCGGCTCCAGCGGCTTCACCACAGAACTCATGGATACGAGTCGTGTCGTAACGGGGTTATTCTTTTGCCGTAACGCTATTCTGACAATTCTGTTACGCGACGGACTGATGCCCCAACTCTGGTTGCGTATTATCAATGAGTATTAATGTAACATCTCATCCCGTGTAAAGTAAATATCGTCTCAGTCGTCTGTTTATTACTTAATTACATTTATATAGCAAAATATACGCTAGAAGGCTGACCGAATTTTGCATGGCACACGTCAAACACTATTGCATTATATAAAGACTTCTTAAAATCTGTATAAATTGAATCCTCGAACCAGGAAATAAATAAAAGAGACGCACCATATACATACGTGTATAATTCTTGTTAAAAAAGTACAGAAGAGCCCGGAACGATTGTATAGAGTAAACGGCCTGCGTGTTGTAACGTAATATTATATTAATATTAATTAATGTAATAATATAATTATTAATATAATATTATATTATTATTTATATTGTTAATATGACTATTAATATTATTATATTATTATTATTATTATTATTATTATTGGGAGTACAAATTAGTTCGGTCCGTTTTTTTGTGTTAAAAGATGTATTTATTTCAAAACAAAATGACTGAACAGATCAATTAAAGTATTTTCCATCGCTGGCTACTACTTTCTCCCACTTCTCAGGCAATTTTCGAATTCCATCTCGAAAAGATGACTCGCCTTTTGAGGCGATCAAAGTTTGGAGCCAATTTTCGAAATCTGTGAAAGAAGTGAACCGGTGACCTGCCAAATCGTGCTGCATCCTTCGGAACAACCAGTAATCAGAAGGAGCAATGTCCGGAGAATACGGCGGGTGCAGTAAAACATCCCATTTGAGCGTTTTCAAATATCTTTTTACGACTTTTGCGACATGAGGCCGAGCGTTGTTGTCATGAAGAACGCCTTTCAACGTCCTTCGGTTTCAGTTCATAAGGCACCCAATTTCCTTGTTTTTGAATAATTCCCAGGTCTCTCAATCGTACGGAAACGGCTTGTTGAGTCACTCCCAATGATTCTGCAAGCTCCTCTTGCGTTTGACTCTGATCTTCGAGTAATGCCTCTAATTCCTTGTCCTCGAATTATTTTGGCTGTCCAGAGCGAGGCTTGTCTTCGACGCTGAAATCTCCATCCCTGAAACGTCGAAACCATTCCTTACATGATTTATCAGTTGGAGCAGCGTCACCATAACTTCAACAAGCATTCGATGGGCTTCAGCTGCACTTTTCTTCCAATTAAAGCAGAAAATTAAAACCTCCCGCAAATGCTGCTTGGTTAACATAAAATTCGACATTTTCAACACTGTAAAATGCAAGGTTTTTGTATGAAACTCAAAGCGATATAAACTGAATATTATTGGCAGATGTCTAACCTCTCTGAAACCGCCAAAATCGGCAGTCACTATGAACCATTCATAACAGCCGGAGCCATCTTTTGAAAACGGACCGAACTAATTTATACACCCAATATAATATTAATGTATCTCAAGTCTAGTCTTAATAATTGGCATGCTGTGTGTAGGCGAAAATTACCTCGGCCGAAACTGCACGATTGAAATAAAAATCCAAAATAAAATATTTAGAAGATAAAGCGCGAAATATAATATGCGTGCAGTAGAGAAGAAAGGAAGATATTAACGCGAGCGCAGTTTTATTCTCGACGTTTTCGAAAATACGACCCCGTGACGTGATTTGAATGTCTCGCCGTATGAGTTTTAAGGGTTTTAATTACGCCGGCTATATACGCGCGTACGCAGAGAGACAGAGACAGGGAGAGAGAGAGAGAGAGAGAGAGGGGGGGGTGGGAGAGGGAGAGTGGGAGAGGGGGCGAGAGGGCGAGAGGAGGAGAGGGAGAGAGAGGGGGGAGAGGGAGAGGGAGAGAGAGAGAGCCGGCGCCGAATTTACACCAATGATTCACGACGCAATCGAGCGAAAGTAAACCGCAGTTTATCCCATATGCACATGCGACACGTATACGTACACTCACATCGTGCACAAGGCACACAGAACGAGGAACGAGGAACGAGCCAGAACATTATAGGCATTATAATATAGGCATTTAGGAAAGGATATTTCGATTAATTGAGCACTCTTTTATATCGTGCAATATAATTGAAAAACTCGTTAAAATTGGCACAGGAGAAGGTACACTTCAAGATCTTCCCCCGTTGCCTCCCTTGCTGAGCGCAACGCTTGTTTCAGAACGGTTGCGAGTGCGAGAATTTCCATCAGGCAGCGCACGCAGAGCAACAATCACAGCAATATCAGCGATCTGTTGGACAATCTGCTGCGCGGCTACGACAACAGCATCAGGCCGGACTTTGGTGGGCCTCCGGCTACCGTCGAGGTCGATATCATGGTACGCAGCATGGGTCCCATTTCCGAGGTGGATATGGTCAGTCATATTTTTTTGTTTAGCGCGCGACGTAAACGCGAAACGCGATTTCACTCGGACAGTCAACCAGATGTATCAACCATAGTGGTGTCAACCAAATAATTAGGAAGTTGATGCATAAATCAACTTCCATTATCAACGATATTCATCGGCGATATTTTAGCGTGTTGCGTGCATTTCTCTGTTCTCTCTCCCTCTCTCCCTCTCTCCCTCTCCCTCTCTCCGTCTCTCTCCGTCTCTCTCCCTCTCTCTCCCCCTCTCTCTCTCTCTCTCTCTCTCTCTCTCTCTCTCTCTCTCTCTCTCTCTCTCTCTCTCTCTCTCTCTCTCTCCCCCTCTCTCTCTCCCTCTCTCTCTCCCTCTCTCTCTCCCCCTCTCTCTCCCCCTCTCTCTCCCCCTCTCTCTCTCTCTCTCTCTCTCTCTCTCTCTCTCTCTCTCTCTCTCTCTAATGAAAGATGAATTACAATGAAATCTCACTGCAAGGTATACATGGTTTCCATCTGTGAGGAATCCTATGTTCTTGATACCTAAAGTACGTAAAGTATTCCTTACGTCAAGTTCATTCGAACCAATGGACTTGTGAGAATTATTTTACTTCTTGAACAAAGTTACATGTGAGCGAGTTACAAGTAAACATTAAGCTTCATTCGCCTCGAAGAGAAGGAGGAGATCATAGGATCACCTGACGTGTAAGAGATAAAGCATTTCTCAGAAATACTTTACATCAAATGCCGCAAAATAACTAATTGAATGATGATAGAGAAAAATGTCGACACAAAGTGTCGAGAGGTTCTCGAGATATCGATAACTCGATAACTCGATAACTCGATAACGATTACACGTGTGCAGATGTCACGTGCGGACGACACCGACTTGGTCGAATAATCCTCAAATCTCCGCAGACATACTCGATGGACTGTTACTTCCGGCAGTCATGGGTCGACCGACGCTTAGCGTTCCAAAGCGGTAAAGAAACGCTCGCGCTGAGCATCTCCATGCTGGCGAGGATCTGGAAGCCCGACACGTACTTCTACAACGGCAAGTACAGTTACTTGCATACGATTACCAGCCCGAATAAGTTCGTCAGGCTGTACCAGGACGGCAGAGTACTCTATAGCTCAAGGTACGCGTTCAAGGTACCATGTTTGAATAGTAGAACGTTTATTTAACAATAAACTATAAATCATCCAATGGCGAGATTGTGTGGAGCAAAGCTTGCGTCCTCGCATGCGTCATGTTGCCTGTCCATAAAAGTATGTCCCCGAGATAATCGTGAGAAGCGCCGCGCGAGATTTATGAGCGGGACCGCGCTTGAATTTTATGTCGACGCCGCTTATGAAGACGTTCCCCTTTCCCTCGTACATTACATTCCTCCACCTCTGCGAATGTCGCTGTCTCGCTGTGTCGCTAATGTGCTGTCTGTCACTTGAACAAGTGAAACTTTAATCTCCACAAATTGGTTGAATTTCATGAGGTTAAAAAAGAGAGATTCACAATGGACGCAACTTGGAAGTCGAAAGAAGATGACGGAACGAGAGAGAGAGAGAGAGAGAGAGAGAGAGAGAGAGAGAGAGAGAGAGATCGAAAATCACGAGCTTCCGCACGCTTTTTGTTAACAGCGTGTAATCTCGGCATCGGAAATGAGTCTCGACGAGATCGTGCAAGTAATCGAGTAAGCGAGTGCACGAACGAGAGGGCGTTCCGCCCTCGCTTTCTAGCTCGGTTAAATTCCCGCGAATCTTTTCTCAGGCGACGTGACATGTGCAAGGTCTGAGGTATCTCGAACTCGAGGGTTAATTCTGCCGTATACAATGGGGCCGATCCGGAAGACTAGGTCAAGAGAAAGGGAACGGATTTAACAAGGAGGAAACGTTATATCGCTCAATCCCGCTCACCCTCCGTATTTGTATTTGGCTTGCTTGTACCAACAAGTACGAAGTAGCCTCGCGACGATGCACGGCGACTCTACTCTACTCGCGCGGGGGTTGACAAACTATACTCTAGCATTCCGCGTTATCCAATCTCATCCCCCCCTCCCCCCGTCAAACCCTTAATTCTGTCGAACCACGTCGTTGGAACAGCGTTGGAACGTACATGGCCAGTGACGGACGAAAGGACGGGGAGTGGAAAGGGGAGGGGAAAGAAGATTGACAGACGCTCGTCATTAATTTGAGCTTTATTGAGTTCCGTGAGTACCTTCATCGCTTCTTCGCTGCAACTGCGGCTGAGGATCGATGAATGAGGAGATAGCGTGAAAAACGCGAGTTATTATCTATATCGTGCGGAATATCTCCGGAAACTCTCACGAGTCAGGCCGACTCGTATACTCTCTGGGCTCGCTGTATCGCTGTCGTCGCAATTAAAGGTGACCACCGACTATTTTGTCAATTGTCTGTCTCACTTCTTTCGCTGTAAGAAGATTTGAATTAGAGATTCACGATATCAAACTGAGAATCAAACTGAGATACGATCTCGTCGTCAAAATCGCCGCGCGTTTTTCACGCATCGCGATGTTTTCACGCCTAACCATGATAAAATCTCAAGAGATAATTAGCATAACCCTGTCACAAGCAGTCAGAGCGCAAAAGAGATTATCTTATATTTCTTGACTTAACGGAAGAGAGACTGTTTGGCGTTTTCAATTTATCCCGTAAGATATCCTGTTAGACATTGATGCGACAATTATTTGTAGCGAATTATTTGTACCGGCCTGGGGATTGGACAACGTCACGAGTGTTCTCGCTTTACACTATAAGCTTTAATAACGATTTATCTGAATTAATTCACGAGAAACATCTCAATAGAGATACTATATGAAGAAGTGCCTTTCTGAGTGATTCTTTCGCGATTCAACAGAATTCAACGTGTGTCTCCAACGATGAATAGTAGAGAGAGAGAGAGAGAGAGAGAGAGAGAGAGAGAGAGAGAGAGTTTTAATCGAAACAATTTTTTCCTCGTTCATTTTTTCGCTCATCGCGCCGTAAATTCACACTTGGACGATCACTTGCGCGACAGCTTCCCTCTCTCGAGGCGCGATGCTTCTCCACAAACAGGTATTCCAGTGCGGAGTTCCACATCCCGCCCTCGAGAGAAATTAAATGCTACTCATCAGTGAACATGAGGTAAACGTAATCAGCACAGTTCGGAGTGATGCCTGTGGATAATTACGCGCCGCTAATAAGCCTTCGCGCTCTTCACGAGCCGGAGAGTGAGAAGCTTTCATTGCGCGCCGCTTCTTCTTTGAAAAACGAGATCCCATTTGGGACCTTTCCCCAAGACTGACCGTAGTGACCCATCTCGAGTGGAAAACGTCGCGTTATCACGCGTTCGTGGTGCTATTTACTCAACACTTTATTTCAGCTGCCGCCATCCAAGTCCAAGAACGCGCGCCGGTCTTACGGATCCATCTCGGTCGTGCCAAGAGCGTGAATCTTCTCTCGGTTGAGTCGCACGACATATTGTTACTTGTTACTACACACATGTCTCGCGACAGCTTCGCGCCGATCGGGCCGACGATGTAGTTCGTCGCCGGACGGAAACAATCAAATCGCGCGCGTTCGATATATCGTGCGGCACACGTCTTTCGTTTGTGCACGCTCGCGCACCAATGAAAAAATGTTTGCAATTTGTGGCAGCAATAGGCAGCGCGTACTGCGTACACCTAAATCTTGATCCTGATCTTGATCTTGATGCATTCCGCAGACATGACATTGGCTGCGTTCGGTAGAACAAAATGATCATTGAGCGCTTAGTGATTATTGTCTGTGATTGGAGCATTCTTTTAGATTCTTCATAGACCCAGAACATTGTATTTACCAATCAGGAGTGAAAATCATTAAGCGCTCACTGATCATTTTGTTCTGCTGAACGCAGCCATTATTAGTCTTAATGGCGTGGCGCGCAACTAGCGCAACTAGCAAGAGTAATTCGTTATTTACGTTATAACACAAGGAGCATGAAAGAAAGGGACTTTCTACCGTCTAACATAACTCGACATCACTCGATTCATCTTCGATTTTGGCATTCACATTGATCGAGCTACCATTTGTCAAATACTGGAAAAATAGCTGCTGAGTGAGAGACAAAGAGCAAAGTGAAAAGTTGAATTGGACAAGTGTGATAAGATTTGCATGAATCTGAGTTTCTGCTTTCTTCTTTTAATTTAAAATCTATATATGAATATGCATTTTCCAAGGATATATTTAAAGCCTTAAAACAGCACCACTAAATCAAGGAAAATAATTTCTAAAAACGCTGTTTGCGTTTAGCAAATGTTAATGACTTATTATTGCTCGCGGCTCGATTCGAAATCGAAACCACCGATATCGGTCTTTGCCGTTTTTCATTTTCACGTTGAGCACTCGCTGGGTAAACAACAAAAAAAGAATCAACTCTCGTTCCAACGCGCGCTTAAAATCCGGAGTTAACGAAGTTTCGCGTTCTAGCGACGAAAAATCAAGAATTCTACGGCGCGACTGCCAGCGTCGTCGAGATGCGTCAAGTGCGATTGTGAGATTTGCATTTAAATTAATGCTCTAAGCAAACGACCGTCTGTTTTGTGAAATCTCGTGATTAACGCGAAGCGTTACCTGATACCAGACCGTTAGTACCAGACCGACTGATTACTTATTTATCGAAATAAAAACGTATCTCCTTATTTCTCGCTCGACAACGTTTGAACGTCGAAGTTTTCACGCAAGATTAAATTAAATTCCTTCTTTCTCTGTTTCGAAACTTCCGTTTCGCCACGTTCTTCGACCAAAAGAAAGAGAATATCGTGAATCCTGTGTGGACTTTATCCGATATTGTGCAAGAATCGTATGCAAGAATAGGTCCGTTGGACACGTTTATATTTATGCGTGAGATTCCGCTACTAAATATGTATACAGAAACATTCATAAAGACAGCGAATCTGAGCATTTGAAATACGTAATAGAGAGACATAGCAAGCAGCTGTCCCTGGGCAGCAATTATGAGATTATTGCCACGACGGGAAATTCAGCTTTTATTATAACATAGACAAGATGCGTTGATGTGACTTTCGTTAATCTATCTTAATTAAACTCTCGAATTTATGGTTCGTCGTGACGGAGAAGCCTAAAAATAAACTAACGAGAGCGTGCACTAATAATAACCAGCGAAGCAAACACGAGAACGAGGCAAGGAGATCGGGGTGATCGAGTCGAAAAGGGTGAATCGCATCGAGGACGGACCAGTGCACGCATGAACGGAGGGACGAGTCGTTGCCGTAACCCGACATTTCCGAGTGTGGGAAAGAGAGAGAGAGAGAGAGCTCAAATTTCGCGGGAGTATGTCGAGCATGAAGTGTACACTGTGCTATGCGGCAGGTCCCCCGCCCCCCTCTCCCTCCCCCTTTCTTCCCCCTTCCTCCCTCTCTCCCTCTCCCTCTCCCCTCTCCCCCTCTCAATAATGCCTCTCTCTCTCCTCTCTTCTCCTCTCCCCCCTTTCTCCCTCTCCCTTCCCACCCATCTCCCATCACTCTCCCAACCTTTCTCTCTTTCCCGCTCTCTTTTCCCTTGGGTGCGTCGAAATTTCGCCAGCTAGACCTGTCTGATGTAGCGAACGGAAGAGACGAGACGAGAAAGCGAAGCGATGCAAGGCTTTCGTGAGCACTCTCGAGGTGTGCGGTAGATCAAGATAGTTCGAAGGCCCTATAAGCACTCGCGAGAAAATATCTAAAGTTACCTTACATCTCGTAAGAGCGATAGATCCCACGCGAGCATGGATTAAAATTAACCGTGATTCAGTCAATCACGCGCCACGCACGCCTGCTGCAGATGTGCAGATCCGAAAGAAAGAGTCCGGCTGAATCCCTCGCGGATAACTTCAACCGGGAACATTTATTCAACCGGTACGTCGTTACCGGTACATCAGCAGCGTATCAGCAACCCGATAGTTTGGTTTTCTGTTAGCAAGTATCGTAATTTGAACCTCACTATTGTAACTGTGTGTTGATTAAACTGTTTTCCTCTTGCAAAAGAAGAAGAAGAAGAAGAAGAAGAAGAAGAAGAAGAAGAAGAAGAAGAAGAAGACGAAGATGATGATGATGATGATGATGATGATGATGATGGTGGTGGTGGTGGTGGTGGTGGTGGTGGTGGT